GGTTGGTTGGTTGGTTGGTTGGTTGGTTGGTTGGTTGGTTGGTTGGTTGGTTGGTTGGTTGGTTGGTTGGTTGGTTGGTTGGTTGGTTGGTTGGTTGGTTGGTTGGTTGGTTGGTTGGTTGGTTGGTTGGTTGGTTGGTTGGTTGGTTGGTTGGTTGGTTGGTTGGTTGGTTGGTTGGTTGGTTGGTTGGTTGGTTGGTTGGTTGGTTGGTTGGTTGGTTGGTTGGTTGGTTGGTTGGTTGGTTGGTTGGTTGGTTGGTTGGTTGGTTGGTTGGTTGGTTGGTTGGTTGGTTGGTTGGTTGGTTGGTTGGTTGGTTGGTTGGTTGGTTGGTTGGTTGGTTGGTTGGTTGGTTGGTTGGTTGGTTGGTTGGTTGGTTGGTTGGTTGGTTGGTTGGTTGGTTGGTTGGTTGGTTGGTTGGTTGGTTGGTTGGTTGGTTGGTTGGTTGGTTGGTTGGTTGGTTGGTTGGTTGGTTGGTTGGTTGGTTGGTCGGTCGGTCGGTCGGTCGGTCGGTCAGTTGGCTGGCCGGCCGGCCGGCCGGCTTGTTTATTTGTTTGTTTTGCCTACAATAAGCAGAATCACCTAGACAATACGGCCACTGGTCCAAAAAAGAAATTATTTCCAAACTCTGGAGTTGAGCTGGATTAGGGACATTGTATACACAGATTCAGTGGACTACGGGGCCTAAATATTGCACACTAAATGTATTTGTTATTGTGCATTTTAGGTGCTTCAGGATTTTCTGTTCATTTTGCTGCAACAGAGTAACACTGGTTACTCCCGCTGAAACAGTTGTTTCACTGTGTATATAATTTGAATGAATTTGTTGACAGAAGAAACCTTGACATATTGGCAGATTTCCCCAAAGTGGATGACCACTCGAACATCTTGTTGATAGCAGGGATAGACAACAAAGATTAAAGTCAAGCGAAGTGAAGAACCGGAATGAAAATGAGGAATACGGTCGTAGTACCTTGAATCCCATGGGCCAGTGCATGAGGTAGAGATCTAGATAATCTAGCTTCAGAGATTCAAGAGTTCTTTGACATGCTCCTCTCACCATGGATTTCTCATGAAATGTGCTCCAAAGCTGCAAAGCAACCAATATATTGGCCAAATGAGTGTCCCAGAATGATTTCAGAGGTCGTGAGGTTCCCAAAATCTTGTTGCTCTGTTAAGCCCGCAGGAAGCAAACAGTGTAACTTGTAGCAGCTTCTCACTGGCAAGGAATGAGTCCTTGCTTGGATTTTCAAGCATGTGCCAACCTTCTGTACTGACCCACAACAAAAAAATCCAAGTGGGGACTCATTCATTAACAGTCAGAAGCCACTGTGAGTTATGCAGTTTGCCTTTCACAGGTGAAACTAAACAACAGGATTTTGACCTCTATATGTGCAGATTTCTTGAAACAGATTATCGGGCAATTATATTTTGAGAAAATCAGCGTCATTTCAGTGAGGGAGGGAGCAAAAAAGATGGGAAGATTCCTTATAGAAATAAGACCATTGTTTGACCTCTGATGGACACAAAGTGGTCCCTTCATTCAATACAGCACACGTTGACACATGTAAAATCAGCACCTGGATCTGTTCTCTCTCCTGAAATGGACAGAGAACACCTACAGACACAAAGCTCTGTGTGTGCACTTATTTCAAGGCTAAAATTATTGTTGATCCATTCAAAAGGCGAGTACACCCTAGATTTTTGGCATGGCTGTACTGTACCTTACTGACAACAAAAAGATCCTCTCGTGACACTGTCTGATCCTGTATCTTCTCCTGGATTGCATCACCAATCTCCTCTTCATTCTGGTAGACATGGGCACAGTCAAAATGACGGTACCCAATGTCAATTGCGAGCTGGACTGCATCTTTGACTTTCCCTAAAGGGGACTGAGAGGAAAGTGACATTAATTTAAGGATTTCAAAGGATATTTTCAGCTTCTATTGAGAAAAAAAATCAGAGGGACATGGTGGCGCTGTGGGCTAAACCGCAGAAGCCTGTGCTGCAGGGTCAGAAGACCAGCAATCGTAAGATCGAATCCACGTGACGGAGTGAGCGCCCGTCACTTGTCCCAACTCCCGCCAACCTAGCGGTTCGAAAGCATGCAAATACAAGTAGATCAATAGGGACCACCTCAGTGGGAAGGTAACAGCGTTCCGTGTCTAAGTCGCATTGGCCATGTGACCACAGAAGATTGTCTTCGGACAAACGCTGGCTCAATGGCTTGGAAACGGGGATGAGCACCGCCCCTAGAGTCGAACACAACTGGACAAAAAATTGTCAAGGGGAACCTTTACCTTTTTTTATTGAGAAAAATGAGAGAAGTAGTACCATTACTCCACATTTTAGTAGTGGCCATAGAATTACATTTTATACATTATCTTATATCCCCAAAATAAGATTTTATTAATAGTTGTGTGTGTTGGGTGCTACTAAATCATTGTAGACTATCTGATTTCTAGCCTTTGCCTTTCCAATTTTGTACAAGAGACGAAAATCTTTACATCACAGTGACCGTGACCATTATCTCCATTCACTTCTGTTTAATGTTGATGCTGTGGTTTCTCACTCACTTTTGCACCATAACTGGGAAGGTCAAGTCTTAGGAGTTAGAAAATTGGGGTGGCAAGAGTTGCTTTCACAGTTCCTGATTACTCTTTTGAGCACCAGGGAGAGTCTACCACACTGTCTTCATTGCCTCTCAAGAGCAGGTTCTTCCCTACACTTGGATTAAGAGACGGTGGGCTGCTCAAATCCCCTTTTGATTAAACCTTTTAACTGCCATCAGAATCCTTGGGTATCATTCTCCTGGTGTAATAACATTTCCCAAATAGCAAGAAAACTCTGGCCAAACTTTCTAGATAACAGCTTATATGGAAAACTGAAGCAGCTGCCTACCAGCTTATTAACTTTAGATCCTTTTATAAGTGTCTTCTATGTGTCAAAAAGCAAGAATATGCTCAAACACAATGGAAGGTTTGGGGAAACTCTGCTTTAGAGAACAAGTTTTGAGACACTAACCATGTTTCCAGCCCAGTGGTTCCCAACCTTGGGTCCCCAGATGTTCTTGGACTACAACTCCTAAAAATCCTGGCCAACTCAGCTAATGGTAAAAGCTTCTGGGAGTTTTAGTTAAGAGCATCTGGGCACCCAAGGTTTGGAACCACTGTGGATGACTGGACAATTTTACAGTTCTCCAACAGCTTCTGTATCTTTTGTAGATTATAGAGCCCCTCCTGCTCGAGACCCAGTACATCTGCATATCGATGAGCACCTGACTGACCTGACCAAAACTAATAAGGCTCCAAGCAAGGATCAGTGGAAAGACTAAATTGAACTCTACCCATTGGTACTAATTTAATCCTTGGTAGAACTGTGTGCAGCTAAGAGAACTTGGTGAAAGTTTAGAAGCTTAAATTCCTCCGTATGGTTGTTGTTTTATATGAAGATTCTATTGGAGGAAACTACAGAGGGCGGTAATTATATGCCAGGTATGCAGACAAATAATCCTTGGCATTGAATTACACTATTATTTGCCTATAATGTTTCCAACCATGAATAAGCCAATCACAAGGCAGCAAAAGATTATCAAGCATTTACCTTAACAAAATAATCCGTAAAGATGCAAACCTACAATACTCGTTTCCCTCTCGAAGTGTAAGAGTTATGTTAGGAGGTTTAATTGTAAGTTCATTGAGCTCAAAGAGTTAGAGCAGCACTTAATTTTCATCAGAATGGGGTTTACATTTCTTCAAACTTTCTCCACGATTGCAGTATTAATATTTTACCACCTCTGATAGCCTGGTGTATACGGCAGCCATGGATGCAGATGGCAGCATCACGCCAGAGCGAAAGCCATGTTCGTCGACTGCAGCAAAAGCAAAGGACAGTCTTGAGGTACCTTGAAGCTCACCAAAAGGCTGCAGTTCAGGAAAGCTCAAACCAAATAAACCCTGCTAGTATTTAAAACAGCATAAGAATGATACCAGAGGACTCTGTTTTGACGTGCCACACCGAAAGGTAAAAAAAATCACCCAAGGATTAAACATAATCTGACAATCCCATGTACCACAAAACACTTACTAAAGGTTTGCTGAACACGAAAGATAAGCCTTAACTGGCTGTTACTATCTTTAACATCTGCAATCAGGTGCTCAAAAGTGGAAACACACCAAAACAACAACATTCGGTACAAGCGAATATCCAGCAATAACGTGCATACAAGTGGAATATTTATTTTTACGCTGCCTTTCTCCTTAAAAGGACCCAAAAGTCCAGTAGATTACCTGCCATGTTCCTAGTCCCAAAATGGGCATTTTTGCCTTGTTGCTTAGCTCCAGGTAGGTCTGCATCGCCTGTCTCTTCTCTCTTGGTAGACAAGTGGTCCCTTCTTCTTGTATGCCTGTTTGTGTTGTGAAGGCACTTCACCCAGCTGTCTGGGATAGGCTGTCAACAGCACTAGCGTAGCAATGAGGGAAGTATCTGAAAGCAACAACTTCTCTTTGTCCCTCCTTTCTCTCTTCTCAAATTCTCTTTTAAGGACAGCCAATGCAATGTATCCTCTCTACAACAGGGGTGGGAAGCAGGTACCTTGGGATAATTTAGATGATCCTCAGCAGAAAAGGCATAGGTTTATAACTCTGGGTGCAGTCGGAAAGGTGTGCTTTCTCTTAAAGCAATCCTTGTGTCCATCAAGGAATCACTCCAGTCCAGACCCTAAGGTCCAGCTTGGCTATGGACTGGGGTCAGGCTGGACTGCTTTCGCCTGTATGTACATCATGTGATTGCCTGGAAATAGATCTCAGCCCACTCTACCACCTACAGACCAAAACATGACCAAAATGTCCGTATGACCACACCCTTTCTGATGTCTAACAATGGCAACAATTGAAAGCTCTTTCCCCTCCTAAATAAGATTGCTATTAAAGAAAAACAACACAGGGACCGGGGTGGATTTTTGTGTGAAAGGACTTGGCACTTGACTCTGGTTTCCACTGGTGACACGGACTGAATAAAAACAGAGTTCAGGAACTGAAATTTAACAGCATATCCTCTAGCTTCAAGTATGGAGCCAAAGTGATTTTTTAGATCTTTCTGCCTTGCTCCCCCCTCTTAAATTTGCAATGGACAGTCTGATGGACAGTCCTGCAGAACTTGTCAGCATGCACTTCATTATGCTTTAGCAGTCCATTCAAGATGCCCTTGTTGTCTGCTTCCCCACTTGAGGCAACCCTAGGAATCAATGACCTCCAAAAGGTCCTGTCAGTAATAGTCATGCCCAGTTCTTGCATACCCAAAGCTGTGAACCCCATTTTTTGAGCCCATCCATCTTATATTTTGGACTTCCTCTTTTCCTACTCTTTTCAACTTTCCCCATGAGGCACTTTTCCAATGAGACCTGTCTTCTCATGATGTGGCCAAGGTACAATAGCCTCAGTTTTCCTTCCAGAATACAGGGTTGATTTGATGTTGTTCCGACTTAATTATGTCTCTGGCAGTTCTTGACACGTGTAAAGCTTTTCTCCAACACCATATTTCAAATCAACCACTTTTTCCCTGTCAACCTTATGCTTTCACATCCATACAGAGTAACAGGACACTTTTCAAAAGCAGTCTCAAGTTACAGTAATCCAAGCAGGATGTAACTAAGGCACCTGTCAATGTAGCCAAATCAAACATCTCCAAAAATGGGTGCAGCTAGCACACTAGCTTTAACCATGCAAGCATAAATATATGTTATGTGAGGAGGCCTGACCAGGATTGTGGCATGTAAGGAGTTTAACCTCCTCCTGATATCACAGATCTAAGAACATCCTACTCCTCTGTGCTATTCATTTTGCAGAGAAAAACTCCCAAGGAAATTTTCAAGATGGCAATAGGAAATTTCTGCCTGGTGCAATAGAAGCTGGGAAGGAAACCCAATGAAAGAGAGGAATATTTGAATAACATCCCTGCACCCAACATAGCCTGGGTCTTGATTACTTGCTGTTTCTGCACCTACCACAGTTGTATGCATCTGAAAAAGCAGTTGGATTAGTAATGATGCATTTAAGAATATGTGTATTTCCAACCTATAAAATGTGCTTTATGTGTTCAGCAAAATTAGGCAGTAAATGTAGAGAGCTGTCAGTCAAAGGGGGATTGCACATCAAATTTCTCCTCTGGGGGATGTGGGACACAGATAAACCTCCTTGCATACAGAGAAGCAGCAAAATAGAAAGAGGACTAGCCAGAACCTTTCTCCCTCACCTTAATCTTTACCTTTACCTGCTGAAAATATAAACTGGTTTGACCAGTGTATGAAGTACCACTTGTACAAAAGCTCAGTAAACACAAGAGTTTGAAAAATCAATTGTGTTTAATCTTTAAGCGAATGCACTCCTAGGTAAGGTAAAGGTTCCCCTTGACAATTTGTCCAGTTGTGTCCGACTCTAGGGGGCGGTGCTCATCTCCGTTTCCAGCCCATAGAGCTAGTGTCTGTCTGCAGACAATCCTCCGTGGTCACGTGGCCAGTGCGATTAGACACGGAACACCATTAACGTCCCACTGAGGTGGTACCTATTTATCTACTTGCATTTGCATGCTTTCGAACTGCTAGGTTGGCGGGAGCTGAGACAAGCGACGGGCACTCACTCCATCACGTGGATTCGATCTTAACGACTTGCAGCACAGAGGATTCTGCGGTTTCAATCTTTTATTTGGGAATATCTTGCTTGTGGTACAATCTCTATGCATATACCATCACAAGCAGGTTCTACTGAATTCTATGGGATCCATGACACAATTGTGCACATGTCTGTGAGAGTAATGGATAAATCTCATCCCCATCTGAAAGGTACAAGGCTGGATGAGGGTAAATTAGCTTATGGGAATTCTAGTGCCCCTCTTCCGGATATTATTGCATGTACCAGATACAAAAGTAATTAAAAAGCAGGGTTTTTTTGCTTCCAAGTTAGGCATGTTTAATTTTACAACTAAAAAACAAAGACAAAAAAATGACAAACTATTTTAAAAGTTTTTTTTCCTTGAGGAAATAAACCAAGAAATATTATCTGGTATCTTGTTGCTGAGCATCGTAAGTCATAACTAGAGCAGTGCTATTTGAATCAATGGAACTTATGGAGGAGGTCACTCACTAAATTCCCATTGATTCAATGGGCATATATGAATTTGACACAACTCCGGGAGGCAGTGGAAGATAGGAGGGCCTGACGTGCTCTGGTCCATGGGGTCACGAAGAGTCGGACATGACTAAACGACTGAACGACAACGATGACATTTCATTGTATTTTTTTTTACTTTTCAACCTGTTGCAACCAGAGTGATCTATTACTGTATATTCTATTCATTTAATCTTATCTTATATAGTGTTTTAAAATGTTTCCTGGAAAAAAGTGCCATTTGTGAAAAATAATTTACGATTAGGCATTTACAGCTTGCCAAGAATTCATCTTATGTAACATCCACTGAAATGAATTAAATCACATCTATTTTTTTACTTTTCAACCTGTTGCAACCAGAGTGATCTATTACTGTATATTCTATTCATTTAATCTTATCTTATATAGTGTTTTAAAATGTTTCCTGGAAAAAAGTGCCATTTGTGAAAAATAATTTACGATTAGGCATTTACAGCTTGCCAAGAATTCATCTTATGTAACATCCACTGAAATGAATTAAATCACATCTATACTTGATCTGCTTTACAACTTGCCAAGAATTTATCTTATGTAACCTCCACTGAAATGAATTAAATCACATCTATACTTGGTTAAGTCATTTATGCCGAATATTATTGTACATGTAGCCATTTTTTCCAGAACTCTTTATAGCTTTAGAACCCTTTTCAGCTCTCAGAACATGTTCAGATGAGTCTAGAATGGTTTCTCTAAATACTGTAAACTAAAATATGGCTATGTTAATCTCTTCTGCATTTACTGTCCCTGATCTCTAAAGAAATCCCCCTTCCACTGATGGACCAGCCAAAAAAGTATTATTTTCCTAGCAAACTTTGAAAGCCAAGAAAGTTGGCTCTTACACAATTACAGTGGATTTAGAGTACCTATCATCTGTGTCCTTGAGAAGCAGAACCATGAGATTATGCCTTCTTTTATTTCAGGTGTTATTTCAAAGTTTGAAAACAGATTATACTTCTCCCTCAAATTGCACGGGGGGCGAGCAGAATGGTTTTGGTTATATATAGATTTTTTTTCAGTAATGTTCCAATAAATAAACGAATCCTCAATAAATACTGTGCTGCTCTTCCTCTCTTGAAAGTGGCCTGGGAAAAGTGGTTCTCACACTTATACCTGTTGCTGTGGGTGTGGTGGGCTCCGATCCATTGATGGCAGCTCAGCTAGGCCCCTTCCTGGCATGGCATCTCCATCTGGCAGCCGCAGAAGGAGCTCGAAGTAATGCTGGAGTTGACGCGGGTCAGAGGAGCTCTCTCTCATTCTCTCATTCTCTCTCTCTCTCTGTTAGTCAACTGTTTATGCTTTGTGGTTACATTTTGAGGGCATGTTATACACACAACTACATCCGGCGTCCGGTGCCCCTAACCGCAGCATTTCTGAAGGGAGACGCGTATAGATCATATACAACTTCACTTCAAAACTAGTTAGTGCGAAAATTTAATGGCCCTCTTGTTGGCCTCAACCCAGAACACTGTCCAAGCAGGACTGTGAACTGAGGACAACATCTTCCTTCAGCCAGGAGGCAACACTATTTGTTTGTCTATAACTCGCTTACCGAGTGGGTCAAATACATTTTCTCCCAACTTCTCTGATAAGAGGTTCGCCACATTTCGGTGTCACCTCAAACCCTAGCCAAAGAACTTTGGTTTCAATGCATGACGGAGGGATGGAGAAAGCTGAGTGGCTTCACTCCGGTGAGTTCTGGATAATTGGATAATTGGACAATAGCTGCCAGAGGTGGAATTTAGAGCCCATAACTCTAGCTTAACTTTGCAGCTCTCATTTTGAAATTGGCATATGCAACTAGCTTCTTGTGATGAGGACACTTCGGCTGCTCCCCCCTCCTCACCCCAGATTACTTGTGACCGGGGGGCGGGGGAGAGCTTACGGAAGGCAGAAGAGCAGCCAGGGCAGGATGGTGGGAGCCAGGCTTAAAGGGGGGGGGAACAATGATGAGGGAGGCTCATCGCCCTCAATGGGTAGAGTGAAAGGATTGCACAGAGGTCCAGTCCTAACTTTGGCAAAAAAAACCTGGCTGCTGCTCTTGAAACACTCATGGACAGATGAATGGGTCTGCTTTGACCTAGGCAGAGAACATGGAGTAGGAGGTGCACCCCTTGTGCCATTCAGCCCCACACAACGGTGGCACAAGCACCCAGCAGAACCCCAACCCAGCAGACTCACTGCCACTGAGAAGAGGCACTGGTGGAGGAGGAAGGACAACCAATGACTGCAGTTGATTCTTCAGGAGGGGACAAGTTGCTGGGGGTCAGGGGCCTTTGATGGCTTGGCATTAGTGGCCCTCCTGAAAGGGTGTGAGCTGGTTTGGGTCACTGCTGCAAACGCAAGCCCAGATGGGAGATTCCAGTGGGCCAGTGAGAGGAATAGGTCCCCAACCAAGGACAGTGAGCAACGGTGGGG